CCTGTTGGGTAGTCAGTGTGAAGAGGAGGGGACAAGTGAGTATGGTGTGGCTGGAGGAGCTAGACTGCTACAGAGTGGATAGGTGGATTTGTGGAAAGGACCAGTACTTGGGCACTACGGGCTGGCCGGTTCAGGACCGATGAAATAGCATTAAGGCAGAAGAGAGTATTTTTAAGATGTGAACAAAAGTAGCTGTTCCTGCTCTGCTAGACACATGCAGGAAGGAATTCCTATCTGCCCAGGTGAGGTCGGGAGAGTAGAGCTATTTTTGGTTTCTTCCAACCTCTCCTCATTCTTTCCCCCATCTTATTTAAGTCCAGGGATGAAGCTTAACATCTTAATAAATAATACCTTCTTGTTTAACCTATAGCATGGAATCAGTGTTTTTGGAGCTGACTGAAAGTGAGGGAATGATTTCTGGGCTTTCCCTGGTAACTTGGACAAACACAGATGACAAATGGAGCATAATAGTGCTCTGAAAGTTACTGTAAGCCTGAAATAAATTGTATTTAAAAAAAAAAACAACAAAGAGTATCCATTGTCCCCCATTCCCCTGTCCTGCCCAGTGGCCCTGCCATGGGTCTGGACAATAAAATACTGGATAGCCTTGGGGCTGAGTAGAAGCTATAAACCATGGGAGAGGCAAGAGGGCTGTAGTTACCACCCCATGTGGAGTCATGTGAAAACATTGGCTGAGGAGGCAGGGATGAGTCAGGGCCCCAGGGTCAGTGGCTTAGCTGGCACTGGAATCCAGGTCTTCTGCCTCTTTTGGAGAGAACTGGATAGAGGCAGAATGTGTGCAGTGTTGGGGGATGGAGTAAAAATAAAAGCCTAATTCAGGTGGGTCTAGCAGTAGCTCCCACCTTCCCTGGGGACAGGATTTTATAAAAAATTAACATCACTGTACGAACATTTTTAAAAAGCCCACATTTTGTGAAAAGATGAATTAAAAAACCCAAGACCCAGCATTCGGGATTGAAAGTGCCCGTAATGGGAGTTCAAGTATTGATTGAGCTGGGAGGGAGGGGTCTGGAACCCCCTATTGAACATGGGCTGCTAAAGTGTGGAGTTGGGGCTCCCAGCCCCCCCACAACCAACCCTCTAGGTCTTATCTCTGGTCTGGGGGGTCTGAGGTGGCTCAGCAGTGGCACCTGAAGCTGCCACTGTGGCCTCTTCTATCTCCCTGTCCTCAGACAGTGTGGGCCCTGGGCTGAAAGTGTCCCCACGGCCTGCCCGGCCAAGCACAGCCATCCAGCGCCGCTGGAGCTCTTCTGTCTCAGGGCTGAAGTACCAGCTTAGGTGGCTCTGGGTGATCTTGAAGACGTGTCTTCTGTCAGGTCTCTCCCCTGCCTCAGGAGGTCCCACCTCAAAGCCAATGAGGGGTAGGCTGCGCTGGGCTTTCACATCCTAAAGAGGAACAGAGCTGCGGTTACCTTCCTTTCTGCTCCAGCTTCTAATGATTTTGCATTTGCTTCCCTCTTTTCCTTCTTCTGCTCAAGAACATTTCTTGCCTTACTAAGAAAGTGAACTAGGGCTAGAATGTGGCTGGTTCAAATACCATCTCCTCACACATCCAGAACCAGGTAAGCAGTCAGATGCTTTCAGACCTTTTGTCTAGGCTACTGTTACTGTCTGTTCTTCCCAACTTAAAATTAGACCTGCCAGGCCCTGCTTCCATTCCTGTTCTGTTCAAGTGCCAGCTCCTCCACCTCATCTGTTTTCCCCACATGCCTTGGCACATAGTCGGTCTTTGTCATATAGGGTAAGGTTCTGATTTCCCCTGAGGTACAGCTAAGCTTTTCCTGTCCCCCAGAGTCAAGGAAGGGTCAAGGACTCGAAAGTGGAGCTTTGCCAGGTGGCTGAAAGGGCCCAAAGGAGTAGAAATCGTACCTGAGGGGCCCCATAGATGTATAGCACCAAGGGTTCATTCTCGGGGACCACGAACCATGCCTTGTGCCATCCTTTTCCACCCTTCTCCATGTAGTGTAGGAAGCTGCAGATGATGCTGTTCTCTGCAGCCACAGAGGCCTGTTTCTGTGGCCAGAGACAGAGGAGTGGTCAATATTGAGAGAGGGCTAGACTAGCTCCTCTTGGCTAAACTAGTATCTTCTTCTATGGAGTTATTTCCATGTCTTGGGTGAAAACACTGAAACTCAGGTCACAGGAATGATCTGACCAGGGTAACATGATGAGTCGAGATTCAAAGTTAGGCTGTCTGCTTGACTTGGGCCATGGCTGCTGCCTCTATAAGCCAGAGGAAGGGGTGTATTTCAGTGGAGGCATCTAAGTACCAGCCAGACACCTTCAGTCAGCCTGTTTATCAGTCATTCACCCCTTATTGTTTTTCATCTTCATCACCCATCCATTGTCTAAACTAAATGAAAGGCAACCTAGCCCTATGATTTAAAGGTGGGTGGTTAATGCAGTCTGGCTCAGAATCCCAGTTCTAAGTGAAAATGCATAGACTTGGAAGGAGAGCACAGAGAGCTGCTGTAAGGATTAAATGAATTATTATAGCCAAAGCATTTAGAATAGTTTTTGGCACAGAGTAAGCACTCTCAAAGTGTTAAGTAAATACCTACATTTGTTTAAGCCTCAAAATTCTGCATGCACATGTTCATGGAAAAAGGAAGGGAAAGTGTTACAGTGGTAACTTCTAGGCAGAAGGAATATAAAGTTTTATTATTTTTTGTTATCCTACTTAGCCTAGTTGGTAATAAATGGCAATTTGTTAATTTAAAGAATAGCCTAGAGCCAGGCAGTGTTGTCTCAGCTCCCTGGGAGGCTGCAGTGGGAGGACTGTTCAAGTCCAGAGTTGAAGGCTAATCTTGGTAGCTAGCAAGACCTGATCTGAAAACCTACCTGAGCATAGTGGTACATGCTTGTAATCCTAGCACTCTGAGAAGCTGAGGTAGGAGGATTCCAAGTTTAAACTCTGCCTGGACAAGTTAGTGAGACCCTATCTCAAAATTAAAAAAGTTTTTAAAAAGTGCTGGGGACATAGCTCAATGCAGAGACCATGGGTTCAATCATCCAGTACTAGTGGGGGGGTGTTGTTTGTTTGTTTGTTTATTTATTTATTTATTTATTTAGACAGGGTCTCACTATGTAGTTCAGGCAGGCCCTGAACTATGTAGCCCTAGGCTAGCCTTGGTGATTCTCCTGCCTCAGCCTCCTAAGTGCTGGGATTTACAAGTATGTACCACCATACATGGCAAAAAATTTAAAAACCTTAGCTTTGTCACTCATTGACTGGGCAACTTAGGCAAATAACCTCTCTGGGCATAATCTTCCTGATTGATAAAACTATGGATAATATTGGCATGGGTACATTACTTTGAAGATTATTTGAGTAAAACATTTAAATAAAATTACTGCCTTCCATTCACTCTTACTTACACTCATTTTACTCACTGCAAGTCTGGGTCAGTGCATCAGTGGACATGCATAGTACCCTACTATTTCAGAGATGTCCAGGCTTCCTCACACTGGGTAGCTGGCTGAGGCCTATGTGTGGGGTGATGGGTTGGGGACCTGGCTCTTACCTCCAGGATGGATCTCCGGCGCTGAGGAGTATGCTGGCTGCAGGCTGGACTGCTTCCAGGCACCCCATGCAAGGCCACATAGCAGTCAGTGCACACACGGTTGGAACGGTTGTTGTCATAGACGAGGCGAGCCCGGAACTCAGAGCACTTCCCACAAACCACCTGGGGTGGCAAGTGGGCAAGAGCAGCCTGATTCTAGCAGGCCTTCCCCTTCAGTGTACCAGCTCCCACAATAGAGAGCCTCCTCCCCATAGGGGTTGCCCACTTAGAAATAGGCCTTTAGACTGTCAGCTTGTCCCCTCTCTGGCTGTGCCCCACCTCCCAACACTCACATGCCCACAGGCCTTGCAGTGGTGCCTGCGTTTGGTGATGGAATTGAAGGGTTCCTGGCAGCGCATGCACATGGTGACTTCCTTTTCTCGGATGGGTGTTGGTGCCCGCTTCCCAAGATCCACGTTCTAGGGGAAGAGCCACATCCCAGGTTAGGGACAGCTCCTCAGCCCAGTTCAGGCTGCCCTTCCATTGGCCCCAAGGCTTATATTATCACTGGTGGTGGCAGGGCAACAGACACATTCAGAAAATGCCTCTGACTCTGGCACTGCTTCTAACTTGATGTGTTAACAGTTTGGTTTTAAAAACAGTAGTAGTAGTAGTAGTAGTAGTAGTAGTAGTAGTAGTAGTAGCAGTGTACTGGGGATTTCAGTCAGGGTCTTTGCACTAAGTTATGTCCCCAGCCCCACGTTCCCTTTTTTGTTGTTTTTGGAGACAGGGTCTCACTGTGAAGCCCAGGCTGGCCTTGAATCCACAGCAGTCCTCCTTCAGCCTCTTGAGTGGTGTGATTGTAAGTATGAGCCACCATTATCATCACCCAGTCTTTTATTTATTTGTTTGTTTATTTATGAGACAGGGCTAAGTCAGTGTTTTGCCCAGGCTGGACTTGAACTTGTGATCCTTCTGACATAGTCTCCTAGAGTGCTGGGGTACAGGTATGCACCACCATACCCAGCCTAACACTGGAGGGGTTTTGTTTTCAGGTTTTTGAGACTGGATCTTGCTGTATAGTCCAGCTTGGTTTTGAACTCACTATGTATACCAAGCTAGTCTCAAACTCATGGCAATCCTCCTGGCTCAACCTCCTGGGTGCTAGGATTACAGGGATTACAGGCATATGCCATCATGCCCAGCCATGCCATGTTATTGAAGATAAGTCATTTTTGCTTTCTTGGCCTTGGTTTCCCCAGT